CCCCCGCGCCCGGGCCGGGCGCCCACCCCCTCCCGCCCGCGGGAACGGGGCTCACTTACGAGAGCTAGGGTCGCCGTCGCCATCTTGCGCCCGTCGCGGCCGCAGCGCGCGCCACACACTCCTACTCCTTCTGCGGTCTCGCGCGATCTGGGCGCAGGCAGGCGGAGTTCTCGCGATACCTCAACCGACCCACTCCTGTCTGGAGTCCCGTCCACAGAATGGCCCTTCTCAATCCCTAGCCTCGAAGCTCCCCAGGCAGCGGGTCACAGTCACTAACAGAGGCTCACTCTTAAATGCAACTGGACAGCCCAGGATCACCAGACCGCTGAGGAAGAGGAGGGAGGGCTTGGAGGGACAGAGACCAGGAAGGGAGCAGCAGAAGGAAAGCTAAATGCTGCGCTTAGAGAGCGAAGACGGCGGGCGCACGGAGAAAGGACGTTCGGCGAATGCGAGACAGCGCTTCCAAAGGGAGTGCGTGCGGGGACAGTGAGCAGGGCCAGCAGGTGGCGGTGGTTCCGGCCGCTGGATCCCCCCGTGGCTGACTGCGGGATTAGAAACGCAGGCAGTGTGTGGGGACCAGCAGGTGGCATGGTGGTTAAGGTGCTGGACACTCCCACGTGGCCGACACGGTTCAAGTCCTGGACCTGGTGGCTTGGCCTCCCACTTTCTCTCCCTCTCTCTCTGTCTCGCTCTGGTCAAATTAAAATAAATTTAAAAAAATTAAAAACAAAATGCAGGCAGTGTGTGCCGAGGAGCATGGAAAAGAGATTGTCACACAGCCACTCCCACTAGGGGTGCTTTCTCACTTTTTCTCTCTCCATTTCTGACTTTCTCCAGCAAGCACGCCTGCCTACTGAATTTTTAAGAAAGACAGCAGGATTGAAACAAAGATAAAACCAGATAGCTAGAGAAAGTAACTAGCCAAGGCCAGGGCCCCCCATACAGGGGTCTCACGGAGCCCACCACCAGGAGTAGCTGGGAGCATGGCGACGCACGCACACACGGAGTGGGGGGAGTTCTGCACAGTGCTTGGTGCCAGGCATGTGTCTTCGCACTAACCACGTGCCCTTCTCGACCCTCTGCAGGGTGCTGTCACTCACAGGTGAGGAATTGAGGCAGACCCACCTCACATAGCAGGGCTCCAGATCCTGGGCCTTTAATCACAACATTGCACCAAACAAATAAATGTTTAAAAAAAAAGAAGGGAGAAATCAGCAAGGAAATAACCCAAGACAGTTCCTAGAATTAAAGTCTGGGTTTCTGGGCTGTGGAAGGGAGAGAAGGTGAACACCTGGGACCAACAGGTGGCGTAACGGCTATGTCACTGGACTCCCACGTAGTCGACCGCGGTTCGAGTCCCGGACCCGGTGGCTTAAACTCACTCCAGGCGCGTGTGCGTGCATGCCCAAGATCCCGAGAGGAGATGGGGTTGTGGCATGGCCATCCCCCCTGGGGGGTAATTTCTCGCTTTCTGTCTCTCTGTCTTGGTCTTTCTGGGCAGTGCACACACCCTATAGCAAAAGCCTCTCCAAAAAAAGAGAGAGAGAGTGAATATCAAGACGCTTCGGTGAAGATTTCCAAAGCACTGGGCAAAGAACGGCTCAAGGTGGATGGGGGTGGGTGCCATAGGCAGAGCAGAATTCTCCAAGGCCGGAGAATTCTTGGAACTAAAAGAAAATTACAGGATACCCTCCAAACCCTAGAGAAGTGGTTTTCAGCCAAGCCAAGTTTTCTTGTACCTATGTACATGTTCACATATACGCGAGGCCAGAAAAGAAAGCAGGCCGACTCCACCACTCCGCACGGGTCCTCTCTAGGAAACCTGGAGGGTGTTCCTCCTCAAATAGGATGAGTAAGGGAGGAAAGCATGGAGAGAGTCCAGGACGCTGGTAAAGGGGTAACCCAGACGGACGCTGGGCCTCCAGGCAACGAGAGCATCCCAGGCAGAGGGCTTGCATGGGAGCATCAGGCCGAGATGTGAGCATGAGAAGAGACCCACATCTCTGCCGGGCATCCGAAGGTGAGGGTGACAGGTACACACGGCAAACTAAGCAGCAAGACAAAAAGCAATGATTAACTCCAGGGAAAACAAAAAAGTTGTGCAAGAAAGAAGATACCGTGGGACAACCTGTTCTCTGCCAAGGCCTGGGCTGATGGCACCGCAGTGATCCCCAGGCAGCGGGAACAAGGTTGTGTCTGGGGACCAAGGCAGGTGCCAGCGGGACACCCAATGAACACCTATAACGAGGACTGACAGCGTGCTCGTGGTTTTGAGGAACGGCTGAAATGTCTGAGCAAACAGCTGAGAGTTGAATTTGGGGAGAGTCAGGGTAGGAGACTGCATTTATTTATTCTCGAATACTAGTCCCTTTTAGAACAGTATGTAGAGAGATTTCATGAAAAGTCCCATGCCAGCATAGCTAAGCGCAGCTGCGCCAGCACGGGCACTGAGGCTTCGGAGCTGCCTGCGCACTAGTGTAACTGGCGTGCCCACCTCGGGGCTGCCGCAGATCGCACACGGCAGCTGCCTGCAGGGCTGCGCCCGGCACGGACGAGCTATTTCAGGTTGCAGTTGTGGACGGACAGTATGAGGCCCTGAACAGTTTGTAATGGCGGGGATGGTATAGAACAGGTGTGGACACAGCATATGCTTGGTACTCCTTGGTGAATGTTTTGGTCTCTAGCAGAGGTGGTGTGGGAAGCAGGGCGCCTTCCTTGCCCTCCACAGTGCCCATTCCCTCATCCTCAGAACCAGCGAGTCCGTTTACATGGCAAGGTGTTTAACAGGTGTGATTAATACCAGAGACCTTGAGCGGGGAGATTACCCTGGATCATCTCAGAGGACCTGACCTAATCGCGTGAGTTCTTGAGAAACTTTCTTGGCTGCAGAGAACCAGCAAGAGGCTTCATGACAAAGGCTTGGCCTCAGCCGGCTGTGGAGGTGGAGGCGGAGCCCTGGTCCAGCGGTAAGGCACATGGGCAGCCCTAGAACTGAGAACGGACTGTTTACAGCCAGCGAGAATACAGGGGCCTTGGCCCTACCGCTGCAAGGAATAGAACCCTGCCTTGGCCTGAAGGAGCAGGCAGTCTCCTCTCGCACCTCCAGAAAGGGGTGCACGGCCTTGGCCTTAGTTTAGGGAGCCCTGTGTCAGACCCCACCTACTCTGGGCCGTTTGAAGCCACTATGTTTGCAGTAAATTTTGCAGCAGCAATACAGGATTAATTGTGTGGAGCTTTTCTGGCTTGACATCTGAAATTCTTTTTTTTTTTTTTTTTTTTT